TCTTGTTGGGGTCTCCCTATCCTTTGCTGACCTTCCATCTTTCCAAGCTTGGTGTCCCTTTCTAAGGATAGCCTGCCTAGCCGTGTGTCCACCGTGTGAAAGCAAGTGCTCTATGGAGTCCTCTGGCTGTACTCAGACTGGAGTCTACAGATCAGCTAAGTCATGCATTTCGAGAAAGGGAACCAGTTTAAGGGCTTCAGGGAAGATCTCTGAACCTCCACATTTGTATCCAGCATTTGCACATTTTTTTGGGATTTTTGAAGTGGGTTCCGTCGGCTTTCCTCCACTTTTCTGAGGTCTCTCTGACCCATCAAAGGCTCAGATCCCTTGGTCCAGAGATGTCTCCCAAAACGATGTCCATGTCTGACAGTTTCCTCTAAGGATAGGTAGGACGGGGTGGGGGCCACACAGGGCTGGAGGCCGCCCAGGGCTGGCACTTGATGCCGTGGGAACCACCGCGCACTGGCCTGAGCTCCAACTGGCTCTTTGTCCTCAGATTTCCGACGTAAACATCCTAGGCTCAGTGCCTCCAGCACTTGGGTCCCGCATTGCGTCACTCCCCCTGTCTTCTCAGTTACATTTTCACACTCTTCTTTGATTACTGCTCATTATTGTTTGCAGTTACTGTGGACACTGATGGTATCATTGCTCCCGTCTCCGTTTCACATCGTCTGCGCCTTTTCCTCAGGCCCGGACCTGCACTCGCTGGCGGCAGCTTGCTCAGTTTTCATGTATTCCGCTGGAGTCTGCCCTTTGGACCTTGCGCTGAGTTCCCTGCCTGAGTCTAACTTCTGTTGTCCTTTGTAGGTCTCTGGGCTCATCTTTCCTTGAACCACAGATACGTGACAGCTTTTTTCTCTGACTTTGCACCTCAGTGAGCTGTGTGCATGGGCTTTTCAAAGTGAAATGTGACCTTTCAGATTTGGATATAGACTCACTTATGCTAAAGTGTTACTTTTCATTGGTTTCAATTTTGAAATTCCACTAACTGAAGCCCCTAAGCTTCAAGTGTGTGAGAGGTTACCACCACCTGCCTGCATTCCCAGGGACACTTTTGTGCTCAGAGAATATTAATTATAGAGCCCGTTTCTTTTATTTCCTTCCTGGAACAGACTGAATTGAGACTTCCCCCCTCCCCCATGTAACCTATCAGGGAAATAAGGTAAAAAGAACAGCATAATGACCTGTCCGGGCACTCCATGCCTGTCTTTATTGTTACTGTGGTGTGAAGGTTTCCATAGCAGGTTAGGTTTTCATGTAGCCATTTCTACACAGGCTGTTGAGTGACATTGATGACATTCTCCTCCGTGTATAAATGTTCTCGTCTTTGTTTTCAAGTCCTTGCTGACCGTGTGGTCTCGGGTAGGTCATTGCTTCCAGGGAACGTGGTGTTGATGGGTGGTAGTCACAGCATCCATCTTTGGCAGTTCTCAACACCCTGTTCCTGGCCCTGTTCCCTGGCCCAGTGGGCAGCATTGTGATGGGTGGACAAAAGACTGAAATTGTCACTGACTAAATTTTCCCTGGATTCGTAATCGACAGCCATGCAGCAGTAGTCCAGACACCAAAAGGCACTTCAGGAGGGAAATCAGCTGCCAGTGACGTCTCCACAAAGTGCTGCTGAGTGAGGCTATCCAATTAAAGGCTCAGGTACACTCGATCCAAGCCATAGTCCTTTCTAATTACTTCTCATGGATCTGAAAGTTGGACAGTGACTAAGGATGACAGAAGAATTGATGCTTTTTAATTGTGGTGTTGGAAAAGAGTACTCAGTAGTCCATGGACAACAACAAAACCCCCCAAAACAACGCCCAGCAAACAAGTTTGTCTTGCAGGAAGCACAACCAGAGTGCTCCTTGGAGTCAAGGATGGTAAAACTTGGTCTCACATACTTTGGGCATGTTGCCAGGAGGGGCCTAGTCCTTAGGGGGAAACATCATGCTGGGAGAGGTGGAAGGTCAGAGAAAGCACAGACTGAACAGGCTGGATTAACACAGTAACCCTGTCACCACAGGCTGGAGCATATCAGGAATGGGGAAGAGCCAATATATATAACTTTATGTTAAGTAGCATTGTGCAACTCAGCATGCTTCTCAGTTTCCTCTGTATTTATTTTGACATTCATCTGTTTATCCTGCTAGAAAGAGCCTCGTAAGGGTGGTCACTGATGTTCATAAATAGAATTTGACTAGGTCACTTTCAGAAATAATATTCTATAAATTGTTGTAAAGACCAGCTAACAAAAGCTCAATGTGTACTGCAGCCTACCCAGCAGAATACCACAGTATTTATAGCAGGAAAAAAGCCCTACCAGTACATGATTTAAATGAGATAGAAGACGGTCAGCTTGGAGAAGTGTAGGCATTCTCTGCCCACTGCTGCCAAGGCCCAGGAAGAAGGAATGTCAAGGGAAGGTCTGTCCTTCATCTCAGAGGTTGTGGTTCCGCAAGAAGGGAGTGCAGCAAGGCTTCTTGGAGCCCCCAGAGACATGGTCCCACCTGCAGGTGTACTGGGCTTGAGAAGGCACGTGGGGAGAGAATCTTCTCTCTGCTGGTGCTTACGTGACACTAATATGGGTGTTTGGCTTGTGGGGAATTACAGCTGAGGAGGAGGGCTGGTGGGCAAGCAGTAACTGCAGACCTCTAAGTCGACCATTTGAGTAGCTTTTGTTTATGTACCTTCCTTCTGATACCTTTCACCTTTGCCCTTTTAACCCCTCATCAAAGGAACCTGTGGAACACACTTTGTCCATGTGTAAACAGAGGACTGTTGCTTGCCCAGGATCAAACAACAGAGAACGCTGGAACTTCAGTGTCAAAGCCAGGTCTTCAGTTCCAGATAAACCAACACACAGCCTCTGCCAGCACCTGTCTGCATGGTGCCAGCCAGTTACAGGCGGTGCAGGGCCACATGCGCAGGGTCTGCCCAGGCCCTGTGTTCTATGCCGTCCTCGGGTCTGAGCTGCTCGGCACTTTGTTACAGGCTTGTAGTAATGCTCTGTTGGAAGGCCCCTGTTTGGATGCATTCGAGGTTAAAATGGTTCATGTCCCTTATGGAACGGTTGAGATAGGCTACTGGATAGAAGCTCTGCCTGCACTTGAAATGAGCCGTTTACTGGGGCACCTCCCCTGAAGAAGGCGAAGGTTGAGCTGAATGCTCTCGTCGACTCCTTTCTCTTCTGATTTTCTGGGACACTGTTCTTGTCTCTTGACTTGATGTTGCGAAGCTATTTCAGTTGGTAGCAGTCAAAACTGTCTCAGTGGGCTGCACCTCGGTGGTGTCTCCCGTCGCCTTACTGAGGCCTGTCTCATCACTGGACATGGCCCCTACTCCGCACATGTGGCAGGGAGTACTTGGTGGCAGCTTCAGACAACTAACAAGTTTTGTTGTGTTTCTGACCACTGTGTTTGAACAGATCCTTCAGCTAACAACAAGCAAGGTGCAAGTGAGGCTGCCAGAACATTCCATCCTAAGGGCACTTTGGAGAGCGCTCCCCAGGGCCAGCTCTGTTGCAGGGACCTGCTTGGAACGGGGTCTGGATTGTCGCAGCCCGGTCAGCCCCTCGTGGACTCCCTGATGCTGCTGCTGAAATTTGTTTTCACAGGTGCTGTTTTCAGTTTGATGGTTTTTTGTACTTAAGATTAGAGGAAAGTGTAGGTATTGAGCACAAAATTGTTTTTGTTTGTTTTAAAGAGAGTTTCTTATTTTTAAAAATGGAATCATTCTTTGGCTTTTCTGCTATTCCCAGCCCCTCTTCTGGCGGCTGACACAGTCCCCTAGGAAAATACAAATAGAGATTGCTTTGTGTACTTCACCAAGTTCTCTGTTTGAAGAGAGAATTATGTTACAGCTGGTTTTGTTGTAAATAAAATACTTCCTTGTCTTAGCAAGATCTAGTGCACATGAAGTGTGTCAGATTCAGTTAAAGTTTTCAAGTCATTTAGTGGCTGGGTAAAGCGATGTCCGTTTGCAGAGACCAGCTGGGTCAGCAAGACGTGGGAACTGGCACGGTTCTTTTCCATTTACTAAGTAATACGTGCCTGTCCCCTAGGACTGGGGTCCCTCATTCTGTGCAGGACTCCTGGAAACTGCTCGCTTTGTACCCTCCTGGGCCCTGGCACTGTCTTCAGCGCTGCCCCTCACAGCACGCATACACACACACTCTCACATTCGTACCCTCCTGGGCGCTCACCCTTTCCTCAGCACTGCCCCTCACAGCACACCCACGAGTTGCCCATGGTCCCCTGGGCAGTGAATGTCACTCATCGCCACATGTACCTCAGCTTCCTTCCCAGGCCGCCTCCCGTGAGAGGAGAATTGCTGGGAGCAGCGTGATAATCATGATGTTGAGATAGGTTCTTCTGGGGAAGGCAGAAAATGTTAAAAGTTTAACTACAAAAAAATGTATCCTCATGAGCCTAACAGTTCTCACTTGTAAGACTTTGTTCTTCAGAGAGATTTGTACCTGTGAACCAAAAGAGCGTTCACTGCACCATTGTTTACAAAATAACGAAACTGAAAACTAGTGTGTCCTTCATGAGGGGGTGATGGGGCAACTCCAGGTCCAGCTGTCATTGCTGGCCTTGGGCTTTGTAGCTGCAGGAGAATAAGGTTGAGTGTGGAGAGAGGGACAGGACGTCTGGAGATGCATGGATGTGATAGTCAGGCCTTGAAGAATGTGCCCAGGCTTCCCAGCAGCCCCTTCTGGGGAGCCCAGCACGGGAATGTGCTTCTAGATTGTCTAGGGACCTTCAGGTATTACTGGTGTGAAAAAGACTTGCAGGGAGGCTCCTCTGGCTGCAGTGTAGACTGCAGAGGAGGAAAGGGCATGGTGGGTCGGCTGCAGCCCATGGCGGTGGGACTGCTGCCCTGCAGCCCAGCTGACCCCAGGATTCATTCAGGTAGCACAGGGGATGGGCACGTGGAAGACAAGCCAGCCACCTGCTCACCCACCATATGTGCCTCTTGAATGGGACAGCAGGGGCGTCTGATTGCTCCAGGGACACAGCCTGCTCCCCGGAGGAGTGGGAAGCCAGCCTGCAGGCGGCTGAGCCTCTAGAAGAGAGCCCCTGCTGCATGGTGTGTGGTATCTCAGGGGACTCTCAGGTGGCTCTGTCCCGCCATGTGGGTTGCTCGTAGTAAACCACTTTACACCGAGGTGGGCCTGGGGGTTTTATTTCCCCCTCTCTTTAGTCGCGGGTGCCCAGAATTGAGTTGCTCCTCATCCTTGGCTCTCGCACATCACTACCACCAGCCTGTACAGGGCCGTGGGGCTTCATTATTTATTGGTTTTTTCTCCCCATACCTTCTCCCACTGCAGCTGTGTTATCGTGTTTTGGATGTGCCTTCCTGTTTGAATGTGTTCTTGTAAAGTACACGTGTTTGAGGTCTTACTAGCCCAGCCAACGTACCTCGTGGACAGCACAGTCAAGGGGGCGACAGCTCCTGCAGCAGGAGCTGAACCTCACTTTCTGACAGAGCTGAGTGGTGGCACCTTCCCTTAAAAACCCCACAGCGTAGAGGTGTTAAAACAGTCCAGAGTTGTCCCACTACCTTTGTCAGAGCCCAGATTTAATCTCTACTTTCCCAGGCTCTCGGCCTGACTTCTGACCATAGTGGGACTCATGTTTGGCCAGAGCTTCCAGCTTTTCCAGGAGCTCACAGAGGTACCCGCCTGTCCCTAGGCCAGCCTGTACCTTTCCAGTCGGCACCCACAAGGCTTAAGGTCACTTGACAAGAAGGGCCAGAGAACGAAGGACCAGCTCAGGATCCCGTACAGCTCAGGTTGAACGCAGGCTTCTCACAAAGCACACTGAGATTTGAGCAGCCAGGGACCTCTCCTCTTGTCCGCCTCAGGCCTCTTACTTGGGAAGAGGATTTCCCTGATGGTCAAACCCAAGGGGCTCTGGTAGACGTTTACTGAGCAAACCAGGCGATAGGTGGCGACATAACCCCATTTTATGTTTTCAGGGCAAACCTTGTGGCCCCCATAAACTTGACCGCCCACCTGCTTACAGCAGTGGCCTGGGCTTGGTTTCAGGATAGTTGTCTTTTGAGAGGTGGTGATGCCATTTGAGAGGACAGCGTTGGCCTCTGCCACCAGCTCCTGAACGGTTACCATAATAATAAGCACCGAGTCCAGTCTGCCCAGCACAGGGATGGTATCAGGGACCCCCCCGCCCCATAAGCCCAGCCTGTGTCCTCAAACCTTTGGGAACGGCAGTCTGGTGTGGCCAGCGCCACAGTTAATCAGGAGGAAAGTGGCCTGGAGATGCCTTGTTCCTTCAGGAGAGCTGGGCTTTCAGGAGGGAGTGGCCAAGCTTTTGGCATCAGCTCTTGTCCTGACTCGTAAAAACCTCGCTTTGACTAACTGCTCTGTGCAACTGAATCATGACGGTAAATGTGAGACTGACTTCATAGCATCAGTTAAACAAAAGTGTGTATCCAAGTATGAGAAACATTCTAGAAAATGCCAGCCAGTAAGTAACAATGCAGTGTGATGAAAATACTGTCATAAAACAAAAGATTTTTTCCCCTTAATTCACAACTTTGACATTAAAAGTGCAGCAGGGGTTGGAGAAGGGACCCAAGCCAAATCTCCTTGTGGTGGTCGACCTGAGCTGGCCCCAGCCCTCAAGCCCTCTGGCGCAAGACACATCAGACGGTTGATGCGCCTTTAGAAAGGGGAAGAAGTTGGAGTTGCTGTAGGCTTTGCATCAGCTCTTTGAGGAAGTTGGAAAACAAGACCAACCCCAGGATTCAGACTCTGGACTAATGCTACTCGGGAACAGGGGCCACACGGGCTCCCAGAGGGAGCCCCAGTCTTACCCAGTGTGCTGATGCCTGAGAGGGGCCTGAGCCAGGAGTCAGCTGTTGGCACATGGCAGACCCGCCCTTGGCCCCCCTACATGGGGCTGCTCATCACTGAAGCTCAACACGGCGCTGTGTCGAGCAGCGTCCTGCAGTCAATGGTGAGATGGAGGAGGGTAGGGAGGTGAGCTCGAGTCAGGGTCCTCAGAGAAAAGCCTTGTCAGACTCACCTTTTCCTTATTTCATTAAAGGACCCAGATAGCAGCTCCTGAGAGGGCCCCACATCCAGCCTTGTAAGAGCATCATCCCCTAAACCACCTGCTGAAGCTGCCCCGCTTTCACGGCGGGCCCCCACCCACAGCCCACGTGCCTCAGCCAGGCACCAGTGTCCCTCTATCGCCCGTCCTTTCACCAGAGCAGCTACCCAGGCTTTGAGAGTTGGCTTCTTTGGTGTCTCTTGTATCTGCCCCCGCCTCGTCCTCATCCTGCTGCCTCTACCAGATCAGACACTAATGGCTGTGACGCCCTCCTCCCCCGCCTAACGTCCTGCTGTTGTTCCCAGTAGCCTGTGGGATGAAGTTCAGACGAATCCAACACATGGGCCCAAGGTTCTCGGGTACCTGCCTCCGTCAGCCACTCACTCCCTCAGGCTCCAGTACCAACATTTTCACAGCCTCCTCCCCCCTGCATACCATTCTCTCTGACCTCCTCCCACTCCCTTCCCAAAACCTAGCTCAAGGCAAACCCTGACCCCCATGAGCCCCAAGTGGTAGGACCTAGGAGTGAAGATAGGGACACACTTCCTGCACCAACTACTGCCCTAGGAAAGGCATTCCTAGCACATAGAGCCACAGAAAACACTTTTCTATTAAAATATCTCTTACGTATTTTAAAAAAAGTCAACTTCATACATACGGCAAAGGTGAAAAGACTAGTTCAAAACAAATGCATAAATTAGAATGGAAACAAAAACAAGTGTTGTAAGTTCCTCCTCCTCCAAGAAGCCTTCCCTGACTACCACCCTCCTCTCTTCCTCCTCACCCACCTCCCCTGTGGTTCCATCACACCTCATGGAGTAAGCGAATGGACCCTAACCCAGCTTACAGCCCATCTCCCTCGAGAAGCCCTCATGGACAAGATGAATTACAGGGTGGGATGCTTGGACATGTGTTGAATGAGGCCTGCGTGGTTCTGTCATGTCAAGAAAATGAGGGTCAAGGACATACAATGAGAACACTCAGTGTGTGTCACAAGGTGCCACCGCCTCCCAAGGACATGGCGCATGTTGGCTGGTGAGCTGGGGGAGGAAGGTGGGGCTGTGCTTTGGGCTGAGTTATCAGCGCCCGTGATTGCAAGACCACGAGCAGGGCTACAGGCAGCTCAGGCAGAGACACATGGGCAAAGCCACCTCCTGAGCCTTGGTTTCCTCTTTTACCATGGGGAGCTGCTAGGAAGATCACTAGATGACCGAATGTGTAATAAGGGTTTAAAACCTAGCACTGAATAGTTTTAGAACTGGAGTAAACTGGAAAGTGTGTCTGCCACAGCAAGTCAGCCACCTCTCATTGTCCCTGATCAGCTCAGCTCCCCAGAGATGTCATGGGGCCCTGCCCTGAGCACCCATCTCCCTCCAGCTCCACCTGGACCCTCAGTGCTGGGCCCAGCCACACCTGCAGGAAGCTCTCCCCCACCCCCAGCAGGCTGCCTCTTCGCCTGGGCTGCTCACCCCACCTAACTTGACACTAGAAGTCACAGTGGGCACCAAGGTGGGCCCTGACCCCAGCCCGGCCTCCATGGTCAATAGCGTGGTGTCCACAGCCCACAAAGGGCCCTACACAGTCTGCGTGGCACAGATGTGGAACTTGGTGAGGTGTTTCCAACCTCAGTTACTCAGCAGCCCTTTCATGCATCACAGCTCCACTTTTGGTTTCATGAGGTGGACATTCCTGACTGCGCCTTTGAGTCTCAGACACACACCCGCCCCCACCTCCCGGGCACCTCCATGGGTCTCTGGGTCCAGCGACCTGGCTTTCTCCTCCATAGGGAATAAACAGGCCATAAGCAGGAAATACTTCCTCCCCCCAGCTCCCTAGATCTTATCCCCGCCCGCAAAAGCCACTTCCTCTGACCACTGTCTCCCCTGTTTTGACTACCCTGGCTCCTACCCGCATGGTTCACACACGAAGGGTCCTTTACTCCACCAAGGCCACTGATCTGACCCCATCGGTTCTTGTCATCCATCCATCCTTTCTTTGTCCTTGAAGTTGCTTCCCCTTGGCCTCCAAATGCAGCTCAGTCTCTCTAATACTGCACTCTCAGCCCCGATTCTTTTCACCCACACCCTTTTAGTCTGTGTATTTGATTAATTCATTCACATGATACAGAATTGATAGCGAGCGAATGGTCCCCTGCCCTTGCCCTCTTACCCCATTCCTGTAGTTTGTCTCGTGGTTTCTTTTCCCTGCGTTGATTGCATTCTTTGGGTTATGCAACCATCCTCATCCTCCTTTTCTGAGTTCTTTCTCCCCCAAGAGGATAAACTCACTGTCCTCTGAGGTTTCAGCATGAACTTCCCAGAAGTCATTACTTTGCTCCCACATAAATGTTTCCTAAAAGAGCATTATGCTGCAACAATGAAAAGAAGAAGCCCAAGTTCTCTATAAACTTCCATTAAAATCTCAATTTTAAAAACATATTATGCTCACTGCACCTAGGGAAATGTATGCCTTTTTAAAAAAATACTCCTTGTAATTTATAGTATACATTACATATATGTATAGTATACATTACATTCAGTACCTGATTTCTTGATGTTATCAATCTCAAATACTCATTTATAGATGTCAATGGTAAGATTAACTAGTAACACAAAAATAAAAACTGGCACTGCTGTGTAGCAGCAGTCTGATTCAGACCACGAATTTTTCACTCACTTGCAGTGCTGCTGACAGCTGGACAATAAATAAGGATGACATAAGAATTGATGCCTTTGAGCTGTGATGTTGGAGGAGAGTACTGAATATCACAGGACTGTCAATAAGTCTTAGAGAAGATAACAACCAGAGTACTCTTTGGAGGGAAGGGTGGGTAACCTTCTTGCAGACTATGGCATGCTGCTAGGAGAGGGACATCGTGCTTGGGAAGATGGGGATGGGAAAGGAAAGGGAGACCATCAACCAGGTGGATTGAAAGCAGTGGGAGCCAATATGTCAGAGATTGTGAGGTTGACACAGCAAAGGGCTCAGATGTGTTGGTCCTCGGGTCACTATGAGTTGTGCTCAACTTGACACCTAACAACTGCGTAACAAACATTAATAAAAATTTCACTTACATATAAAAAGTACTATGCTCAAAAAGCAGGCCTCCCCCCCTTACTAGTTAAGCTAATCTATTTTTTTGGACTTAAGGACACCTCAGGGATTTTTAAAAAATAATTTTAATGAACATTTACAAGGGATATTTTTAAGATTGAAAGATTCCCTTTGTTTTGTTTTTTTTTTTTTGGAAACAAACATCCATTTCATTCACACATCCTCAGTCAGACTGAAATAAAAATCACAAGAAAGGTGTCTCTGGTGAAGGACATTACAAAGGTTATAAATCTTTATCTTAATAGGCCCCTGAGAGTTTTCCCCTTATGCGTAGGTGAAAAAGGCAATGAACAAGATTCTCTCGTTCTTGAAGTGCTTTGTGCAACAACGTCCATGTGTATGAATCTCAAGATCCTTTGTGGCGGAGTCTTTTGGACTAAGCCATAAATCTTCCTCCAGAGTTCCAGTCTCCTAAGGAGCCCGTTCCAGTGGTGGTTACTTTCCAGTTACGTTATGGTAATTAATTACACGTCTTGCTCCTGATCATTGTTACGGTCAGTCCTGCAGACCTACATGGAAACGTTTCCCACCAGTCTCTCAGCTTCCAGAAAGCGTCATCTGGGTGAGACGTTGGGGCTGGGGAAGGAGCCAGAATTTCTCGGGGACTGAAAAGGGATGGCCGAGGATGTGGGGGACCTCTTGGGGCTGCACAGATCCCCGTTGTGCAGCTTCCACAGCAGCTCCTCATTCTCCATGGACAGTCGCTTGTTGACTTTCGACTCCTTCTCTAACGACTCCTGCAGAACAGCTTGCTCGGTAGAAAGTTGTCTTGAAATTGCCACGTGTCTGTCCATCCGAGCTTTCAATTCCTCATTCTCCTGCTGGAATCGCTTCAGTTTGTCGACAAGTATCGTGTTGTTGTCCACCAATTTCTCCATTTTCATTAACTTGATGTCCTGCTGAAAGATTCCCTTTGGAAGAGAAAATACCCAGCTTTAGGAGTTCATTGAATCTTCATGGCTCCAGAAAGTCTAGAGTCCATGGGCTTCTGAAATTGTGTTCTGCTGCGCTCGTATTTAATCAATATTCTCCTGGAGGCTTTTTAAATCAGCATGTTCAGTAGTCAGCTGGGCATCATCTAAATCTTCTGGTCTCGGGGCAAAGGAGGTAGTTGCTAGTGGAAACAGCTGCATATCCCATTTCCTCTGCTTGTTCCCAGCTCTTCCCCCCATCCTTTGTCACTCAAGGTGAATAGAGACCAGTTGTGTCTTAGCAGCTTGCCAGCTTTTGCCGGGTCTTATATGCAGTGAACTAGAAACACCAAACACATCACTGGATCAGCTGGCTGGAATGTCACGTGAAGCCGTGAGCCTACAGCTTCCACACCCAGGAGTCCACCCAGTCCTGTGAGGTGTTGCTTGTCCAGAAGCAGCCTCAGAAGCTTCTCTTCCCCTCCTTTTGTTGTGAATATTTCCATCACACAGCTTTTCCCCCGTCGACTTTTTACAGGTGTACAACTTAACAAATCACTGTGCAGTCGTCTTCTCGTAATCACTACCATCTTCCCATCACCATAAATGGAAACACAGTATACACAATACCTGCCCCTTCACCTCTCTACTGAGCCCGGTAACCACCATGACAATTGGTCTCTACCTGTGCCCTTTTATTGTAAACCAGACCTTGCAGCATTTCTTTCTGTCATTCTCAGGGTCACTGGGCATGTGTCTTCACACCCTGTCCATGCTGTGGCAGGTAACAAACAGGGTTTCCCGTCCCCTCCTGGCTGAGCAGTATGAGTTGTCTGCAGTTACCGTGTTTTGTGTATCCATCCATCCATCGATGGGCGTGGATGGGCGTACAAGGTCTGCTTTCAGGTACTTGCCTGTACTTCATTGGCTACACAGTATTTGACTGTGTGGATCACAACAGATTGTGGCCAACCTTGAGAAGAATGGGAACCCCAGAATAGTTGGTTGTGCTCATGCAAAACCTGTACATGGACCAGGAGGCAGGCAGGACAGAGCAAGGAAACACTGAATAGTTCAAAAAGAGGAAAGGAGTGTATCAGGGATGAATCCTGTCTCCATACATTCAATCTATATGCAGACAAATCGTTCGGGAGGGTGGGCTTTATGAGGAAGATGATGACATCAGGATTGGAGGAAGATTGATCAGCAACCTGCTTTATGCAGATGACACAACCTTGCTGGCTGAAACTGAAGAAGGTCACCGACTGTAGTCTTCAATATGGATTGAAGCTCAACATCAAGAGGACAGATCTTCACCACTGGCGCAATTGGCAGCTTCATAATAATAGATGAAGAGATTGAAACTATTAACAATTTCTGCTAGCTTGGATCAACCATCAACACTTTTGGCACCAGCAGTCAGGAAATCAAAAGACAAATTGCTTTGGGAAATCTGTCAAGGACCTCTTCATGTCAGTCTAGAGACTAATGTGTGCCTGACTGAGGCCATGGTCTTCACAATTACTTGCTATGTGTCAGAAAGCTGGACAGTGACTAAGGATGACAGGAGAATCATCAAGGCCTTTGAGTTGTGCTGGAGAAGAGTCTTGAACATATATACCATGCACTGTCACTGGGACAAACAGGTCTGTGCTGCAGGGGCTGAAACCAAGCTGGTCCTTGGGGGCAAGGATTTTGAAGCTCTGTCTCACATACTTTGAGCATGTGTCCAGTCCTTGGAGAAAGTGGAGGGACAGCACAGGAGAGGAAGACCCAGATGACATAGATTGACAGTAACTGGAGTAATGGGGGTAGGTGTGTAGGAGACAGAGGCTCAGCATCGGGTAGGATTCAGGGCTGTTGTACGCAGGGTCGTTATGAGTTGCAGGCAACTCAACAGCACAAAACAAGTTTCTGAGTCATACATGGTAGGTGGGTTGTCTGGGTTTTTTTTTTAGGTATTGGCAACAATGTTTTTCACAGTGGGACCACCAGCAATGTATAAGGGTTGTAGTGTTCCCACATTCATGTCAGTTCTTTCTCTGGCTTCCTCTTGTTTCCTAACTTTGATAATAACCATTCTAGCCAGTTCTCTCTGTCAGATTCCCAGGACTGCAAATCTTTGTGGAAGGACTGCTTCGCTTTCTCACTCAGAGCACCTGGTGGACTCAAACTGTTGACCTTTCTGTTAGCAGCCCAACACATAACACTGTATGGCAGCAGGGCTGCTTTTAGCTATCCTGGTGGGAGTGACACGGGTTTTTGTGGTCACTGATTTGCTTACATCTCTCTCTCGTGTAGCATATGCTGTACTATAAAGCACTGAGCTGCTACCTTATTAGAATTTAGCTAGTAGAGCTTTCCCATTCCTTTATTCCATTCTTCCTGTCTCTTACTATGATTTTTTTTCTGGCATTTAATTATTTGTCTTTTGGTGGCCTAGTGGGTAAGGAGTTGTGCTGACAACCCAATGACAGGCAGTTTGAAGCGGCTGCTCAGGAGACTGACGGACAGCCACTTCCTGTGCAGTTTACCGCCTCCGAAAACCCGCTGGAGAGTCAGCTAGGAGTAGTTCTGACTCCACAGTGGTGAGTTTTTAGTTGATTTTTTTTAAAAAAAATTATTAAATACAGAACTTTTTTTAAACCTAAAAACTTGTTCCATTTACAAAATTATTGTAACTTAGAACACCGTGGCCAAGCACAGTCTCCCGGCGGCACCTCTAGATCCATACGTGAGTGAGCTCAGCCTGAAGAGAAGAACTGCCTCCCACATTGAT